ATATCATTCATTCCATCTTTAAACTTTAATTTTTTTTCCTTTAAAAGTTCATCATAAATTGCTTCTGTCATCACAAGAGTTCCTATTAAAAATGGCACTTCACGTAACAAAGCCCACAATCTTCAATTATTTCTCTAAAAACTTTAATTTCAAACAATTTTTCACCTCATTGCCCCATGTCTCTTTAGACTCTGTTGCTTATACAAAACTCATTCAATCCTCCACAAAATCTGGCTCTACAATCCATGGCAAGCTCTGCCACGCCCACATTATAAAAACTGCCTTTAAAACCAACTTATTTTTGGTAAATAATCTTATAAATTTCTACTGTAAATGCGGCGAAACGCGGTTCGCATACCAAGTGTTTGATAGAATGCCTAAACGAAATGTTGTGTCTTACAATCTTTTGATTTCTGCGTATACCCAGATGGGTTTTTATAATGAGGCTATAAATTTGTTCAATGAAGCGAGAGTGGAGGGTCTGAAACTTGATAAGTTTACGTATGCGGGTGCTATAGTTGTTTGTGGACAAACTGAGGATCTTGAACTAGGCAAGTTGGTTCATGGAATAGTTATTGTTGGTGGGTTGGCTGAGCAAGTTTTTGTTATTAACTCGCTTATTGACATGTACTGCAAATGTGGTGAGGTTGATCAGGCTAGGCTTTTGTTTGAGAAATCTTCGGAGTTGGATGATGTTTCTTGGAATTCTTTAATATCAGGTTATGTTCGAATCGGTGCCATTGAGGAAACATTGGGAGTGTTAGTAAAAATGCATCGAGATGGATTGAATTTGAACACTTACACGCTGGGTTGTGCTTTGAAGGCATGTTCTACCAACTTTGATGATTCAGTAAAATATGGAAGAATGCTTCATGGGTATTCAGCCAAACTTGGGTTAGGTTTGGATGTTGTTGTTGGGACTGCATTGCTTGATATGTACGTGAAAACCAGGCATTTGGATGAAGCAATGAGAATTTTTGAATTTTTGCCCAACTAAAATGTCATAATGTATAATGCTATGATGGCTGGATTCATGCACGCAGATATTGTTAGTGATGATAGTGCTAATCGAGCCTTTAACCTTTTCTCTGAGATGCAAAGGCAAGGGATCAAGGCCTCGAAATTTACATTCTCAATCATACTCAAAGCCTGTAATATTGTTGAAGCTTTTGAGTATGGGAAGCAAATTCATGCTCAAATCTACAAGAGAAACTTGTCTGATGAATTTATTGGAAGTGCACTTGTTGAGTTGTACTCTTTATTAGGGTCAACTGAAGATGGGATGAAATGCTTTAATTTAATTCCCAAACTAGATATTGTCTCATGGACGTCCATGATTTCTGGCCATGTTCGAAATAAACAATTTGAAAGTGCATTGGCTCTGTTCCATGAACTACTGTCATCTGGAGAGAAAGCAGATGAATTCCTATTATCTACTATGTTGGTAGCTTGTGCAGATTTGGCTGCAGCAAGGTCTGGTGAGCAGCTCCAAGGATATGGAATAAAAAGTGGCACTGGGAACTTCACCGTTGTTCAGAATTCTCTGATTTGCATGTATGCTAAGTCTGGAGACAGATTTTCTGCTAATAAGACCTTTGAAGAGATAAAGAATCCTGATACTGTGTCCTAGTCTATCATGATTTGTAGCAATGCGCAACATGGATGTGCAGGTGAAGCTTTGAAGCTGTTTGAGTTGATGAATGATTTTGGTATTGCACCCAACCAGGTACATTCCTAGGAGTTCTAACTGCCTGTAGTTATGGTGGACTTATTGAAGAAGGATTACAGTAAGTTATCAAGCCTTTTCTTTTCAGTTTATTTCATTATATAATCCCCTGTTTCAGCAGTGGGAAAGCAGGAAAGCAGCTCGGGAAATCTCTTTGGCTTTGAACCATTCTGGACGATTTGACTTTATGGTTCTGAAATTTCTAGTGTGGATAATTTTTCAACTGGGACTTCAATAAAGTAATGCTACTCAGCTGGGAAGGGACCATTGTTTTAAAAACCGGACCGGAGGGTAAACCGCTCTGATGGCCGGGTCATAGTTCAACCGGTCCAACTGGTTGGACCGTCGGTTGAACCGATGGTTTGACAGGTTTAAAATCTAACAAAAACACCCTTAGTAATTACTATCAGACCCTAAAGGTTTGAAATCTAGCAAACACAACCCTGGCCAAATGCAAATCGACGATCGATTGGGAGAGCAGCGGTGACACACCAAGGAGGGTAGATCGGATGATGGAGAGGGCGAATCGACAGCTAGCAAGTAGAGGCATCGCCGGAAAATGGCAGATCGATGATAAAGTCATTGGTTGCGGTTACTTTTTTTTTGGTGAGATGACTGGATCTTCGTGAACGACGGCAAGGGAGCTTGGGAGAAGGTAGATCGGTGGCTGAGGAAGCCTGTCGATGCCGGAGAAGGCCGATCGACGCTAGGAAATGGAAGAAAAATCTCGCGGCGAAGGTGGACGATGAAACGTCACGCGGCAACTGGAGATGAAGCATGACAGCGTCGGAGAAAGTCAGAACTCAGAAGGTGGAAGGTCACCGGAAAAGGAGAGGTCATTGTCAATTTGCATTTGGCCAGAGGGTGTGTTTACTAGATTTGAAACCTTCAAGGACTGATGGTAATAATCAGGGGTGTGTTTGTTATATTTTAAACTTTAAATAGTTAAAAAGAGTGAACCGACCTGGAGAAGGCCCCGAGTCTCGGTCTGGTCCGGTTTTTAAAACAGAGGAAGGGACTAAACTAAGTGATGAAACAATTTACAATAATAATATACTTACAAAGAAATCTTACAAAGATTTCCATACAAAGTAAGGCTGCAAAAAATAAATAGAAGAGTGAAACAAAAAGTCAAACTTATTAAATTCACTCTTCCATTCATTTTTTGTCATATCACTTTGTATGGAGATCTTTGTAAAATTTCTTTGTAAGTATAATACTACTAAACAATTTATTTTAAATGGGATTAAAAGAAAGTGGACTCTCTTCTGTGTCTTAACTGTTTGGCATTTTTTATTTAGAAATAGTTACATCTTTTTAATTTCANTTTAAAAATTTTAAAATTATTAATTGGGTAAGAGTTCCGGTGACTATCTCTATTAGTAACCGAAAACCAACTCGAACTCGAGACCTCTTATATAATACACCAAAGAGTCCTTATCAAACCACTCGACTACTCAGAGCTAATTATCAAAAAAAAATTGAACATTTTTTACACAATTTATGAGTTGTAAATTGTAAGTTATATTATAAAATCTTAAATCTTAAAATAAAGATTAAATGTAAGGAGAATTTTACAAACCACACTAATGTTATGTCAAATTCCAAAGTTTGCGATATAATGCAACATAGGATAGTTTATGAGAACAATGATACATAGAAGTATTTACATTAGCAAGTCATCTAATGACAAATTCTTTTTTTTTTTTTTTTTTTATTGGTCCTATTTTTCTATTAAATCTTTTAAATTTGTATTGATAAATATTTATTTTCAGAATTATGAAAACATATTTAGGTAAAATTTGATTTTCTAAGCTGTAAAAAGCAATGTTTTAAATTTTAATAACCAACCCGGAATGAAACCCGACAAAGTTGCTGGGTCCTAGGTTGGCCAGTTTGACCGACCAATCAAACCGGATCTCCAAAAGTTTAAAATTCAGCAACTACACCCTTAAAAATTCGTTAAGTCCCTATAGGTTTTAAATTTAACAAACACACCCCAAAAACAAATTGGCGGTCGACTAGTTGGCGATGATGATACACCAAATGGAATCCCAACTGTCCCTTGAACCATTCCCCATAAAAATTACCTAAGATCCAATCAAAATCAGTCTCACAACCGTTGGCATCGACAACCCAAGCCAAATCTTACCACTGCTAACGTTAACTTAACAACCATCTCCATCACCACGAATACACTTTACTCAACCTCTTGATCAAAACCTACCTCATCCTACCCTTGTTCGCCTCGCTAATCGCTAGCAAAAGCCGACTATTGCCGCCACAGACTTTTTTCAATTTTTGATCTATTCACTCATCGAAAATCGCTTATGTTGCCACCATTGCACTCACCAACCCTCCCTCTTTAAAAGCCCCAACGTCCCAACCTTCAATTGTTCGTCAATTACCATCCCAATTTCTAGAGTTTTTGGTGAATAAGAAAATTACTAACCCGACCCAATGAATGCCCCGTAGGCCGTATCCTAATTGAACAGGTTCCCGGACCACGGGACCAGGCCAGGTTTTAAAACACAGGTAAAAAGTTAGATACATGTGTGGGTTGGGAAGGTTTTTAACGCTATATAAAATCCATCCACAATAACAACTTCATCCAACATAAAATTTGTACCACAAATTGTGTACAGATATTGTTAAATTAAAGCATCAAAGCTGCAAATGATAAGAACAACTTGCCATCTGATGGCACGGTTTAAGAATACTTAAACCTGTAATAAAATCTTCACCCACATAAAGAAAATGTCAAAGAAAAAGGTGGAAAAGGGGAAAGAGGAAGTAAAATTGAGAAATTAATGCCAAAAATAACAGATCACAGACCACCATCAACAACAATCTTCACACAAAGTGGCATATACAAACACTTTCAATTCCATCTAACAAAACTTTTTCAAGCCAAAATTTGGGCACCTAAATGAAAACCGAATATCCCTAACCAAATTTCAAGAGGATACAAAGCTATAATCAATCGCCAAATATTACAATTAGTCCTCATCCATTCCAGCAGCAGCAGCAGCTTGATCTCTCCTCGGGCCACCGGCTGGTTTTGCCATTATGATCTACATCATAGAATAGTAATGCAGAGTCAAGCAAGTTATGCTAAGAAGAGGCAAATGAATGCGGCAAAAAATACAGTCTCAGTTTAATAAATCATGTTTCCTAATTTTGTAAGAACTACACACATGAGGCGAATGTATATGAACAATCATGACCGAAAAGTGAGTCTGAATTAATCAACAAATAATTAATTACCTGGTCTACCCTTAATACAGTGCAGGCAGCATCTGCAGCATATTTGAGAGCAAAAAACCTGTACACAAATGCAAAAGACAAAGTTATGGTCGCATCTCACACATCATTTGTTGGTATAAACTACTGATTCTACCTACAAACATAAGATTCCATACATACTCTTTCACATAATAAGAGAAGCATCTCTAAAACTGAATGCAACAAGCATCATGCATATAAAAAGAACCAACATTCCAATACTGCACATAAACTAAAAAACAATTAAAAGCAACTTACTTGGTCACATATAGATCCCAAACATTTGTGGTTGAGATATCCTTGCACGCGCCTTCCTCTAAGTCAATGCCCACTTTGGTATTTCCAGATGCATGTTCAGCATAGAGAGAAGATATGATCTCCATTGCATTTAGTCCAGCATTTTCAGCTAGAGTTCTAGGTATCATCTCAAAACTTTCAGCAAATTTAGCAATAGCATATTGATCCAATCTGCACTACCAATGAAAATTTAACATCAATAGCTGCTTGTACTAGTGCCTAAACCAAATTATAGCATATATGCAAGAAAAACGATATAATTAAATGCCATACTTTGTCTTCATTATTATTATTATTCTTTTTCTATCCACCACCAAATTGTGGAAGAAAAGATGTTCAATGAACATTGTTTACTCCCAAAATGGTAGAGGTTAAACTAAAACCAACACTAATTAAATTCAACAAAGAAAAGAAACAAAAAAATACCCTGTTTCTTTAAAAGAGAATTCCTTCAGTCTTCTAGCCAACTCGATTTCAGTAGCTGCAGCTCCAGGTACAATGCGACTGTCCCTGCACATTGCCTAACAAAAAGAAGTATCAAGAAAACATGAGATCAATTCAATTGCCAAATCATCTCAAAATATAACATATTGACAATAATAAACAGGTGAAACAAGAAAAATATCAAACTATAAAAATGAAGTCCAGATATTTAACAGAAATCACCTTGTATGTATTCACTCCATCATCAACAGCTCTTTCAAGATCATCTAATATACTGTCAGTACTTCCTCGCAAAACCACAGTAGAAACAGAGTTTCCGCCTTCATTTCTCACTATAGTGACCTGCATCACATTGTTCAAAGAGGAGATAAGAAACATGATACAAAATAATAAATAATAAATACCTGGCACAAAGAGAGTGAGAGAGTAAATCCTTTAAACATACCCTAGTACCACCAATTTCCTCAACTGAAACAGAATCCACATACCCCAAGTCATCTGGGTTTGGTTGGCTAAGCTTCAACTGTATGAGGAATGAAAAGTAGATTAAGAATCAAATAAACAATTCTCTTGCATGATCATACATGTGTGATTGTATACTTACAATAGCAACAGCACCCGTTGTACGGCAAAAACGTCTCAATTCAAACTTTGAGCTGATTTTCAAAACCATGAGCCTGCAATCAAGAACATTAAAGTTTGAAACAACAGGACAGGAAATGGTAGTCTGTACCAACAGAGAATATATAGTGTTATGGTCCAAAGTTGTGCAACAATGACCAAATTACATGAATATATGGATATTCCGATCAAGGAAGGAAAATGGAAATAACAGACTAAGGAGACTAGATGTACTTGTAACGTTCACAGAAATGTAATGCCATTTCTCCAACCGCAGCTCCACTAACAATTACTTTGGCACCTGAATCGGCAACAGCTTTGATAAGCTCCTCAACTTTTGCTTCTTCAGTTTTTGCATAATTCTCTAGCTAAAAAGAGATACCAGTGAAAAAGGTTTAGCTTTAAAGTATGTAAAAGG